TAGCAGATCAAGTAAACAATACCATAATTAATCTATGTAACAAACACGTGCCTAACAAAATTGTCACTATCAGGCGAAAGATGTGCCATGGATGAACAATGAAACCCGGAGTTTGATCCGAAAACGTAATCGCTTACACAAGATTGCTAAACGGCGCAACTTACCTTCCAATTGGACAAAATTCAGACTATACAGAAATAAAGCTACATCATCCGTCAGAACGGCTAAACCATTATATACAGACAAAATTGATAAATTAATTAATGACAAGCATGGAACCAAAGTCTGGTGGCGTCTGATTAAATATTATACAAAAGGCAAAAATTCGTCAAGCTCCTTTCCTCCAGTATTAAATAAGGATCAACTTTATGACGATAGCACTGAAATTGCAAATATAATGGATGAATATTTCACAAAACAAAAAAAAATTAGTGATCCAGACTGGAATATTGAAGATGTTGTTTCGTATACTGATAATTCTTTATATGACGTTTATCTGAACCAAAACGAAGTTTATGATATTCTTTCTTCTGTAGATACTACAAAAGCAATGGCCCAGACGGAATTAGCAATCAGTTTCTGAAAAGTTCTGAAAGTTAATGAACGCTCGATTTTTGGCTGCCCCTTTCTGAAAATACGTTTCCTCAAGTTTGGAAGGAAGCCTCTGCCGTCCCTATTCACTAAAAGGTAGTATTAATGACTTTTCCAATTATAGACCCGTTGCACTCACAAGTAAGTTGTCTGGCAAAAAGTTTTGAAAAGTGCGTTTTCAAACACGTCTTTAATTATTTCAGAGATAACGACATAGTTTCTCATCTCCAATCAAGATTCAAACCAGGCGATTCTACTGTTAATCAACTAACGTATTTACATGATTTCATTGCCGGTGCAGTAGATAAAGGAAAAGAAATAAGAGAAGTATTTTGTGATGTAAGCAAAGCATTCGACAGGGATTGGCACAAGGGTATCATTTATAAATTAAAAATATATGGTATAAAGGGTAATTTGTTAAAATGGTTTCAGAATTATCTTGAAATTAGAGAACAACGTGTCGTAATTAATGGATTTAGATCTGATAATAAAGCTGTTTTTGCTGGGGTACCCCAGGGTTCAGTGTTGTGGCCGCTTTTGTTTATTGTTTATATAAATGATAAAGTTGAAGATATAAATAGTAATATACGCCTTTTTGCGGATGATACGTCATTATATGCGATCGTTGATGATCCTGGGGTATCTGCCATTGTAATGAATGATGATTTACAGCGAATTGCATGCCAATTGGGCCGAAAAATGGCCAGTATCGTTTAATGTGTTTAAAGTCATAAACATTTAGGTATTATACTTCAGCATGATTGCTCATCGAATGAACACATTAACGACTGTGGTAAAAAAGTTGCACCAATGGTGAATTGTCTGAGAAGTCACAAATATCATTTAAACCGAAAAACATTAGAAACTATGTACAAACAGTTCATATTACCAGTTTTTGATTATTGCAGTCATATATGGGATAATTGTACTGAACAGCAAGCAGATATACTTGAAAAGCTCAATCTTGATGCTCTAAGAACCGTGTGTGGTGCTGTTCGTGGTACCAGCCATCATAAAGTATACAAAGAAGCTAATTGTCACCCGTTGTGTCGTAGAAGGTACCTTCATTAAAAAAACACTACGCCAAGTTACCTTAGTAACCTTGTTCCGCCTAGAGTGTCAGATATCGTAGGTTATAATTTGAGCGGTGATTCAAATCTTCAGACTATAAACTGTAAATCTATAAGTTATGCGAGGTCCTTTCTTCAAGATACTGTTAAATTATGGAATTCATTACCAGCTGAAGATAGAGAATCACCGTGCCTATCAAGATTCAAAAATGTAAATTTTAATGATTCTAATATCTACAGTCATTTTGACGTGGTCATGGGAGATGTGAGTACAGGACGTGGTCATGGGAGATGTGAGTACAGGACGTGGTCATGGGAGATGTGAGTACAGGACGTGGTCAAGATGTGAGTACATAGGGCGTGGTCAAGATGTGAGTACAGGACGTGGTCAAGATGTGAGTACAGGACGTGGTCATGGGAGATGTGAGTACAGGACGTGGTCAAGATGTGAATACATAGGACGTGGTCATGATGTGAGTACAGGACGTGGTCATGGGAGATGTGAGTACAGGACGTGGTCAAGATGTGAGTACATAGGACGTGGTCATGATGTAAATATATAGGACGTGGTCATGATGTGAGTACATAGGACGTGGTCAAGATGTGAGAACATAGGACGTGGTCAAGATGTGAGTACAGGACGTGGTCAAGATGTGAGAACATAGGAGATGTGAGAACATAGGACGTTGTCAAGATGTGAGTACATAGGACGTGGTCAAGATGTGAGAACATAGGACGTGGTCAAGATGTGAGAACATAGGACGTGGCCAAGATGTGAGAACCTAGGGCGTGGTCAAGATGTGAGAACATAGGACGTGGTCAAGATGTGAGTACATAGGACGTGGTCAAGATGTGAGTACATAGGACGTGGTCAAGATGTGAGTACAGGACGTGGTCAAGATGTGAGTACAGAACGTGGTCATGGGAGATGTGAGTACAGGACGTGGTCAAGATGTGAATACATAGGACGTGGTCAAGATGTGAGAACATAGGACGTGGTCAAGATGTGAGAACATAGGACGTGGTCATGATGTGAGTACATAGGACGTGGTCAGGATGTGAGTACATAGGACGTGGTCAGGATCAGAGTACACAGGACGTGGTCATGATGTGAGTACATAGGACGTGGTCATGATGTGAGAACATAGGACGTGGTCAAGATGTGAGTACATAGGACGTGGTCAAGATGTGAGTACATAGGACGTGGTCAAGATGTGAGTACAGGACGTGGTCAAGATGTGAGTACAGGACGTGGCCATGGGAGATGTGAGTACAGGACGTGGTCAAGATGTGAATACATAGGACGTGGTCAAGATGTGAATACATAGGACGTGGTCAAGATGTGAGAACATAGGACGTGGTCAAGATGTGAGAACATAGGACGTGGTCATGATGTGAGTACATAGGACGTGGTCAGGATGTGAGTACATAGGACGTGGTCAGGATCAGAGTACACAGGACGTGGTCATGATGTGAGAACATAGGACGTGGTCATGATGTGAGTACATAGGACGTGGTAAAGATGTGAGAACATAGCACGTGGTCATGATGTGAGAACATAGCACGTGGTCATGATGTGAGAACATAGGACGTGATCATGATGTGAGTACATAGGACGTGGTCATGAGAGATGTGAGAACATAGGACGTGGTCAAGATGTGACAACATAGGATGTAGTCATGAGAGATGTGAGAACACAGGACGTGGTCAAGATGTGAGTACACAGGACGTGGTCAAGATGTGAATACATAGGACGTGGTCATGATGTGAGTACATAGGACGTGGTCATGATGTGAATACATAGGACGTGGTCATGATGTGAGTACATAGGACGTGGTCATGATGTGAATACATAGGACGTGGTCATGATGTGAGTACATAGGACGTGGTCATGATGTGAATACATAGGACGTGGTCATGATGTGAGTACATAGGACGTGGTCATGATGTGAATACATAGGACGTGGTCATGATGTGAATACATAGGACGTGATCATGATGTGAATACATAGGACGTGGTCATGATGTGAATACATAGGACGTGGTCATGATGTGAATACGAAACATGTGTTGCACAATTAGCAATTGTAGCACAAAATATACTGGGTTCATTTTTCAGTACAAAATAGCTAGAGAGTAATTGCAATGGCAGTACACAATGAAATGACAGTATAAAACATAATAACGAGCAATATAGTCGTTGATAATGCCATTCACCAGGCGATGTTACAGCTATCTGGTTTTCAAAATACCCCAAGGCTGGAATGAGTGAGTGAGTTCAGTTTTACGTTTTTAGCAATATTCCAGCGATATCACAGCGGGGAACGCTAGAAATGATACACAGATTGTACCCATGTGAGGAATCGAACCCGGATCTTCGGTGTGACGAGCGAGCGCTTTAACCACGAGGCTACCCCATCGCCACTGAAAGAGTGTTCTAAACGTTTTGTGTATGTCGAAGGGTATTCCAACAAGTCCTGCCATTCGTGTTTACATTTCACAACTTTTGAGTTTGAGACAACCTCAAGCATGCTCAAAGAGCGTGAAAAAGCTCTTGTTCAAAAGTTTGTTGTTGATGACAACAACATTCAAGGTCCCAGTAAAATCTTTTTGTGGTATGTTTTCTGATTGCGTTGTCAATATTTTGAGTAATATTTGGACATGTTCAGACTTTCTGAGCACACAGACGTTTTTCGATATTATCCCTTTTTAAATATTTATCTTTGCCTTTTTGTAAAAGATTAAACTTCAATCGCATGCGCGAACCCAATTACTTTTACGCCTCATCTTTTAAATTAAAAGAAGAGGTTTTACCAGAACTGGAAAATATTCACTGACACATTCAACCGAAATTCAAAGTATTGGCGACGTGGTCGCGGAGGAGGCGAATGCACAGGGCAATGTCATTGAGTATGTGTGTACAGACGACGCTGTTATGGACAAGGTGAATGAGTAACTGAGTGTGGTTTTACGCAGCCTTTAGCAATATTCCAGTAATTACATGGCAGGGGACACCAGAAATGGGTTTCACACAATGTACACTTTTAAGGAATCGGACCCGGGTCTTCGTCGTAACTAGCGAACGCTTTAACCACTCGGCTACCCCACCGCTCCCCATGGAGAAGGTAAGGATTTACTCAAAACACAAAAGTAAATTTCAAAATCAACCATCATGAATGCGTGTCTCTGTCTGTTTTTATGAACTGAGCTCCTGGACAATTACAAAATCACTGTGTATTCAGTGTTTATTAGATGGGTGAATGTTTGTATTCCGTGCATCCTTCGAGTAGTGTATGACATGACTAATGTTTGAACGACCTTTATTTATGTCACAGACTAATGGATACGTCGGAGTACACCCCTTGTCTTTTGTCACAAGACCCGGATGTCGCTGTGGTGAAGACGCCATTGCAAGACCCGGATGTCCCTCTGGCGAAGACGCCATCTCAAGACCCGGATGTCGCTGTGGCGAAGACGCCATATCAAGACCCGGAAGTCGCTGTGGCTAAGACGCCATCTCAAGACCCGGAAGTCGCTGTGGCGAAGACGCCATCTCAAGACCCGGAAGTCGCTGTGGTGAAGACGCCATCTCAAGACCCGCATGTCGCTGTGGTGAAGACGCCATCTCAAGACCCGGATGGTGCGGTGACGGCACCCCTTTTGCAGCGCATCCTACTGAAGGTGCAAAGTTCTGGGTACAGAATGAAACTGTACTATATGCTGGGGATGTACATTTCGTCCTTCTTTACAGTAAGTGTTTAAGGATTTATCACTATACAACATCAGCAGTTATAAGAAATAATGTCGTGGTTGTGTTTAAAGTGATCTGAATCTGCCCTGGACATTGCAACGGCACCAGTGATGCTGCAAGTAGTGAGTGATTTTAGTTTTACGCCGCATTTAGCAATATTCCAGCAATATCACGGCGGGAGACACCAGAAATGGGCTTCACATATTGTATCCATGTGGGGAATCGAACTCGGATCTTCAGTGTAACAAGCGAACGCTTTAACTACTAGTCTACCCCACTGCGCCGATGGTGCAAAATAATAATGTATGTTGTGGGCTGTATTCACAGGGATGCATAGTTGGACTGAAGGGACCAGCCTTCCTCGACCTTCAGCAGATCGCTGGAGTTGGCACAAGCAAGGGTGCAGCCTTCTTCACAGCTGCAGCCGTCGGAGGGGTAGTTGGAAGTTTGGTCGGTGGCGCTCTCTACGACAGATTCAACCGTCACGTGGTTCTCTTTGTGTCATCCTTCCTGTATGCTGTGACGTGTGCAATCATCCCCTGGTGTTCTGTGTACTGGACAATGGTCATGATGTTCCTGCTACACGAGCTCGTTACAGGAGCTGCCAGGTCAGGTAAGTCACTATGTCTCTACTACAACACATCTCAGCTGGTTACAGGAGCTGCCAGGTCAGGTAAGTCACTATGTCTCTACTGCAACACATCTCAGCTGGTTACAGGAGCTGCCAGGTCAGGTAAGTCACTATGTCTCTACTACAACACATCTCAGCTGGTTACAGGAGCTGTCAGGTCAGGTAAGACACTATGTCTCTACTACAGCACATCTCAGCTGGTTATAGGAGCTGCCAGGTCAGGTAAGACACTATGTCTCTACTACAGCACATCTCAGCTGGTTACAGGAGCTGCCAGGTCTGGTAACACACTATGTCTCTACTACAGCACATCTCAGCTGGTTACAGGAGCTGCCAGGTCAGGTAAGACACTATGTCTCTACTACAGCACATCTCAGCTGGTTACAGGAGCTGCCAGGTCAGGTAAGACACTATGTCTCTACTACAGCACATCTCAGCTGGTTACAGGAGCTGCCAGGTCAGGTAAGTCACTATGTCTCTACTACAGCACATCTCAGCTGGTTACAGGAGCTGCCAGATCAGGTAAGTCACTATGTCTCTACTACAGCAGATCTCACCTGGTTACAGGTGCTGCCAGGTCAGGTAAGTCACTATGTCTCTACTGCAGCACATCTCAGCTGGTTACAGGTGCTGCCAGGTCAGGTATGTCACTATGTCTCTACAACAGCACATCTCAGCTGGTAACAGGAGCTGCCAGGTCAGGTAAGTCACTATGTCTCTACTACAGCACATCTCAGCTGGTTACAGGAGCTGCCAGGTCAGGTAAGTCACTATGTCTCTACTACAACACATCTCAGCTGGTTACAGGAGCTGTCAGGTCAGGTAAGACACTATGTCTCTACTACAGCACATCTCAGCTGGTTATAGGAGCTGCCAGGTCAGGTAAGACACTATGTCTCTACTACAGCACATCTCAGCTGGTTACAGGAGCTGCCAGGTCTGGTAACACACTATGTCTCTACTACAGCACATCTCAGCTGGTTACAGGAGCTGCCAGGTCAGGTAAGACACTATGTCTCTACTACAGCACATCTCAGCTGGTTACAGGAGCTGCCAGGTCAGGTAAGACACTATGTCTCTACTACAGCACATCTCAGCTGGTTACAGGAGCTGCCAGGTCAGGTAAGTCACTATGTCTCTACTACAGCACATCTCAGCTGGTTACAGGAGCTGCCAGATCAGGTAAGTCACTATGTCTCTACTACAGCAGATCTCACCTGGTTACAGGTGCTGCCAGGTCAGGTAAGTCACTATGTCTCTACTGCAGCACATCTCAGCTGGTTACAGGTGCTGCCAGGTCAGGTATGTCACTATGTCTCTACAACAGCACATCTCAGCTGGTAACAGGAGCTGCCAGGTCAGGTAAGTCACTATGTCTCTACTACAGCACATCTCAGCTGGTTACAGGAGCTGCCAGGTCAGGTAAGTCACTATGTCTCTACTACAACACATCTCAGCTGGTTACAGGAGCTGTCAGGTCAGGTAAGTCACTATGTCTCTACAACAGCACATCTCAGCTGGTTACAGGAGCTGCCAGGTCAGGTAAGTCACTATGTCTCTACTACAGCACATCTCAGCTGGTTACAGGAGCTGTCAGGTCAGGTAAGTCACTATGTCTCTACTACAGCACATCTCAGCTGGTTACAGGAGCTGCCAGGTCAGGTAAGTCACTATGTCTCTACTACAACACATCTCAGCTGGTTACAGGAGCTGCCAGGTCAGGTAAGTCACTATGTCTCTACTACAGCACATCTCAGCTGGTTACAGGAGCTGCCAGGTCAGGTAAGTCACTATGTCTCTACTACAGCACATCTCAGCTGGTTACAGGAGCTGTCAGGTCAGGTAAGTCACTATGTCTCTACTACAGCACATCTCAGCTGGTTACAGGAGCTGCCAGGTCAGGTAAGTCACTATGTCTCTACTACAACACATCTCAGCTGGTTACAGGAGCTGCCAGGTCAGGTAAGTCACTATGTCTCTACTACAGCACATCTCAGCTGGTTACAGGAGCTGTCAGGTCAGGTAAGTCACTATGTCTCTACTACAACACATCTCAGCTGGTTACAGGAGCTGTCAGGTCAGGTAAGTCACTATGTCTCTACTACAGCACATCTCAGCTGGTTACAGGAGCTGCCAGGTCAGGTAAGTCACTATGTCTCTACTACAGCACATCTCAGCTGGTTACAGGAGCTGTCAGGTCAGGTAAGTCACTATGTCTCTACTACAGCACATCTCAGCTGGTTACAGGAGCTGCCAGGTCTGGTAAGTCACTATGTCTCTACTACAGCACATCTCAGCTGGTTACAGGAGCTGCCAGGTCAGGTAAGACACTATGTCTCTACTACAGCACATCTCAGCTGGTTACAGGAGCTGCCAGGTCAGGTAAGACACTATGTCTCTGCTACAGCACATCTCAGCTGGTTATAGGGGCTGCCAGGTCTGGTAAGTCACAATGTCTTTACTTCAGCACACTCAAGATGGTAAAAGATGATGCCATCTGTCAACAGTTTAACCCTTTGCTGGGACATCTGTAGAGTTGCGTCCCTTTGTCCCGATGATTGCAGAATAAAGTTAAAAAATTTGCACCGATCATGCGTCTGTTTCACCAACGTTAATCATCTTATCATCGAAATATTGGAAGTTCCCCTTTAACTCCAACCTCAAACGTGTCCATTCATGTCAAATTAATCCGTTTCTGTGACCCAACACTCTGTTCTTATCTCGACCAGTCAAACACCAAGCAGAAGATATTTTGGAGCTTACCACATGCAATATTCCTCACCCTCATGGAGATCCAGGTTAGAATATGTCTTCAGCGTCCCATTTTAACGAAAGAGAGGATTTAAGGGATTGCACGGTTAATCTTGCTGACTTGGTTGATGCATGCCAGTACATTCTCTATTCTCACGTCAACGACTGTACGCATGTTGTTGATCACAGGATTGTCTGGCCAAGATTCCATTATTTACTGACCGCTGCTCTGTAGTCGGAATATAGGCGTAAAACAGAACAAACAAACACACGACAAACTTATGGATTCCTTTTCCTCTGTTTCAGGTACAAACGTGGAGATCGTGGAGGAGTGGGGCGACGAGGGCAAACCCTTCATGCAGGCTCTGCATTTTTCCTTCTCTCTCGGAGCCACCGTTGCCCCCTTAATTCTTGAACCATTCCTCTCCCCAGAACCTGTGCCAGATACAACTAACACTTCTTTCACAACAACAGGTGGCCCCTCCTTCACGACAACAACTTCCAACATGACGACTATGGCATTTCCTAGGCCAGAGAGTAATATCCACTATGGCTTTCTCGTCGTTGCTATTCTGTCAGGGTTGTCTTCCTTCGTGTTTCTTATCAAATACTTTCATGAAAAAAAGAAGGGCAAAAGCTTCTTCCGACGGAAGTACTCACAGGGGGCCATCAAGGACCATGAAGAGGAGGAAGGTCCAGTGAGGAAGAAGAGAACCCTCCCTCGACATCTTCTCATCATCACCCTGGCCTTCTTTGCCCTCTTCTACTTCTTCCTGGACGAGGTAGAGGACACCTCTCCTTCATTCCTGGCTGTATTTGTCGTGAAGCAGATGAATTGGACAAAACAATATGGTGGACGCCTGACTTCCGCTTTCTGGGGATCCTACACAGCAGGAAGGGGGTTTGGCATCGTTCTCATCAACTTCTTCAGCTATGAAAAGTTCTTCACCATCTGTTGTGTGGTCCTCTGCACGTCCCAGCTCGGTCTCCTTCTGTCAGCCACCTATGGATTTGATACTGGAATCTGGATCAGCATTGTTGGTATTGGGCTGGCGATCTCAGTGGTGTTCCCTGCAAGTCTCACTTGGACAGAGAAGGAACTGGTCCAGCTCTCAGGGAAGCTGATGGGAGTGATATTTGTTGCCCTAGGTCTTGGGGGACTTGCAAACCCTCAGATCATTGGCGTCACGATGGATCTATATTCACCAATGTGGTACAGTTATGTTTTATTTGCTGAGAGCATCTTGTTTTCCATCACCTTCCTCGTTCTGATGATGTTTGCAAAGAAGGTACTGTTTCAACACCAACAGGGCTTTACACAGAGAGAATATTCACAATAGGGTGTTTTTTAAAGTGAATGTTATAAACCGTTTTGTTTTCGGCAACATTAAATAATTCATAACTGTCATTTCATCAAACCCGGCATCTAGCATTCAATCCAAGGCGGACAGAGCTGCATCTGTTCATGTCACAACATGACAGTTAAAGGGCCACTGATCCAGAGCGATTAATGTTTCTCGCTAACAGTTTAATAACGAAACCTAGCTGCAAACTGGTCAGCCCCTGCTCCCTCGACCATGACGGACACGGGGACACTGGCTTCTGTCAACCTTGTTAGCATTTCTTCAACCTAATCAGTGGGACATTAGGAAGGGTGGATGCCCATCAGATGCCGCTATTTGAAAATATCCCCATAAGTTCTTGTCTGATTGCAATAAAGTATCCCAGCAGTGTAGGCTTTTTCAGATTTTCAAATGTTTGGATGGTATAGTGACTGATCCAATTTGATCCTATTTCTGTGTTTCATAAGTTTCAAAATGCATACAAATATGATAGTAAACTAATTAGGATTTTAAGATAAAATATATAGACGTACATTCACTTCGTTATTTCAGTCCTAAATTTTTTTACCACTGGCAGATTGTTAAACTTGAAATGTTTTCATTTGTTATCAAAATAATGCCATTTAATACAACATTCAGATTGACTAGTAGTTAACCCAAGTTCACTACTCTCCCCAAGACTCACCATGTACTTAGTTAGCCTTACTTTCAAAACAATGCTATTATATCAGGCTTCTCACCAAATTCGACCCGTGAAGATACGGGGTAGAATAGGTCTTAAACAACCCATGCTTGTCACAAAAGGCGACTATGCTTGTCGTAAGAGGCGACTAACGGGATTGGATAGTCAGGCTCGCTGACTTGGTTGACACATGTCATCGGTTCCCAATTGCGCAGATCGATGCTCATGCTGTTGATCACTGGATTGTCTGGTCCAGACTTGATTATTTACAGACCACCGCCATATAGCTGGAATATTGCTGGGTGTGGCGTAAAACTAAACTCACTCACTCACTCACCAAATTCAAGGTCAAACTATTTCTTAAATCAAATTCTTCATCCATTTGCGTTAACATTTTCGTAAAGTCAACATTACTATCAAATCAAAATTTTACGTCAAAATCAGCATTTTTAACAATGTGAATATTTTTTATGAGAAACCAAATTATTCATCAAAGTCTACATAATTTTACAACAAAATCAACATAAGTTTATCTAGTGAAAAAGATGTCATCTTTGCTGATCAGTCTATACTTATACTATCCATTGCTCTGGATCAGTGCCCCTTTAAGGGGAGAGAATAAGTTTACCCAATAATGGGGCACACCTGTGTAGTACTATTTGCTCAGTTTGTTCAGTTAACAGAATGTGGTTTTCACTATTAGACTTTTTGTTCAGTTCACATTATGTGATTTTTACTATTAGACTATTTGTTCAGTTAACTGAATGTGGTTTTTACTATTAGACTTTTTGTTCAGTTCACATAATGTGTTTTTAACTATCAGACTATTTGTTCAGTTCACAGAATGTGTTTTTTACTATAAGACTTTTTGTTCAGTTCACAGAATGTGGTTTTTACTATAAGACTATTTGTTCAGTTCACAGAATGTGGTTTTTACTATAAGACTTTTTGTTCAGTTCACAGCATGTGGTTTTTACTATAAGACTATTTGTTCAGTTCACAGAATGTGGGTTTTACCATTAGACTATTTGTTCAGCTCACAGATTGTGGGTTTTACTATGAGACTTTTTGTTCAGTTCACAGAATGTGGGTTTTATCATAAGACTATTTGTTCAGTTCACAGAATGTGTTTTTTACTATGAGACTATTTGTTCAGTTCACAGAATGTGGGTTTTACCATTAGACTATTTGTTCAGCTCACAGAATATGGGTTTTACTATGAGACTTTTTGTTCAGTTCACAGAATGTGGGTTTTATCATAAGACTATTTGTTCAGTTCACAGAATGTGTTGTTTACTATGAGACTTTTTGTTCAGTTCACAGAATGTGGGTTTTACCATTAGACTATTTGTTCAGTTCACAGAATGTGGGTTTTACTATGAGACTTTTTGTTCAGCTCACAGATTGTGGGTTTTGTCATTAGACTTTGTTCAGTTCACAGAATGTGTTTTTTTACTATAAGACTTTTTGTGTTTTTACTATAAGTTTGTTCAGTTCACAGAATGTGTTTTTTACTATGAAACTATTTGGTCAGCTCACAGAATGTGGGTTTTACTATGAGACTATTTGTTCAGCTCACAGAATGTGGGTTTTACCATTAGACTATTTGTTCAGATCACAGAATGTGTTTTTTACTATAAGACTTTTTGTTCAGCTCACAGAATGTGGGTTTTACCATTAGACTATTTGTTCAGTTCACAGAATGTGGGTTTTACCATTAGACTATTTGTTCAGTTCACAGAATGTGGGTTTTACTATGAGACTTTTTGTTCAGCTCACAGATTGTGGGTTTTGTCATTAGACTATTTGTTCAGTTCACAGAATGTGTTTTTTACTATAAGACTTTTTGTTCAGTTCACATAATGTGTTTTTTACTATGAAACTATTTGGTCAGCTCACAGAATGTGGGTTTTACTATGAGACTTTTGTTCAGCTCACAGAATGTGGGTTTTACCATTAGACTATTTGTTCAGTTCACAGAATGTGTTTTTTACTATAAGACTTTTTGTTCAGCTCACAGAATGTGGGTTTTACCATTAGAATATTTGTTCAGTTCACAGAATGTGGGTTTTACCATTAGACTATTTGTTCAGTTCACAGAATGTGTATTTTACTATAAGACTTTTTGTTCAGTTCACAGAATGTGTTTTTTACCATAAGACTTTTTGTTCAGTTCACAGAATGTGGGTTTTACCATTAGACTATTTGTTCAGTTCACATAATGTGTTTTTTACTATAAGACTTTTTGTTCAGCTCACAGAATGTGGTTTTTATTATTAGACTATTTGTTCAGTTCACATAATGTGTTTTTTCTTTCATATTCAACTATTTGTTCAGTTCAAAGAATGTGTGTTTTCTTTCATATTCAACTGTTTGTTCAGTTCACAGAATGTGTTTATTAATATTCACCTATTTGTTCAGTTCAACGAGTACAACGACAGGTGATATAATATAATATAGAATCTGAAATTTAAGGTTGATTTTGTTGGAGGAGATGTACTGCTGAACGGTAGAGGGATGGTAAACCAGGCAAAGTCTTTCATCAAGTCTGCCCAGAGTCGGTTATTCGTAGAGAAGCTTTCTGAGAAACCATTGCATAGTGTGTACATGCAGTGTGTGGTCAACAACAGTGATCCAACCGAGTCCTTCGCCTGGATGAATTGGCTGGTCTTAAATGTGAAATCTCTTTTTGCTGCTCAGAACCAGTCACTTCCCACTCGCAAGCGCCAAAATCAGGAGACATTCGTCACCACTCGCCCCTTTCCGTAACCTCCAAGAAGACTCGTCCCTGTCTCGATGCTTGTTATGCACGAAAATACGACAAACCAATCAGAACGCGCGTAATGGTTGCAGTGCTTTGATAAAAATAATCCCGACTATTTAAATCGTTTATGGCATTTGTTATTGGTTTCAAAAATTATGAAAAATATATATCGTCATATTAAAAGAACTAAGAACGTAGCTAACATAACTGTGCTGTTTAATGTGAACTTTTTATAAGAATCATGCGATTGGATGTGAGAGATTCAAATACACGTACGTGCGTTTGTTGACATAACGGCTCTCATTGGGCCAACTGAGTGTATTTCTGGCGATCTTGCGGGCTTGTTGTGGTAATTGTACGTGCGCTTCCAACAGTTTTAGGAAATGTAATTATAAATCGCTTCGACTTTCAAAACAATAATACATATCTGTATGTAACTAATCAACTTTAATCTTTAACATTGGGCATGTACTTTACATCTCTGGGAATATTTTAGTCTGACCTTCTTTTGGTCATTCATATATTTTTCAGCGAATTCATTTAAAATTCAACTGGGGTATGACAGCAAGGTTACACGTATGTTCAATTTGAGAAATATTTTAAAGTCATTTTTGAGTTTCTGCTTTGGGATTTAATGTAGCTGGGTTTTATTTTATAAATTTTATTTGCATATTCAATAAAACAAATCCCATTTGTGATTATTAAACCCTTTTCAGAAATATAATTGGAAATATAAGGTGAACACCTGGTAATAATTACGTCAGAATATGTCTTTAACAATTATGTTCTTCTCTTTCTGTTAGTTGTACCAAGGAAGTTTAATTCTTTAAATTAAATAAGCAAAAACGAAAACAGCAATAAAATGTATGAGTACTTCGGGGATATAAAGTACTATTGGAATCAAACAGAACTAGAGTAATCGTTCCGGTTGGAAGAAGTTCCGATGTTCCTACGCCAATATGAAATCCTTCCAGAGGGGCACGAGTCGCTTTTCGGCTTGTCCCGGAATAACACGAGTTGGTCACGAATGAATCAGGAGAGTGTTCCGGTTCTCCTATGAGCACAACGCTTCTGCCACTCCAGGTAATGCAGAAGGCTGCAGTGTTGGGAACCTTCATATTCCCCGGACAGTTCTTGGTGGGTTCGACTAGACAGTGCTTGCTGGGAGAAGTCCCATGCGATTTCTGGGCTGCGTGTAGAAGGGGCAAGGGCCCTGAGCTAAATATGCGCCTTACCGGGTGCTTTTAATCTGTAAAATATAATAATATATAATATTATATTTACCATACATTAAACGTGCACTTTGCTTTTCAAATATATCAGTTTCACCTTTTTGTTGCTTATAATTGATTAAATTTTGAAAGCGGTGAATACATGTAATACTGCTCTGGTATTGACTTGTATGTAAAATAATGGTGAAGAAATAATTTTTAAAAATAGTTTTATAAAAACTGATTTTAAACTCTTCAAAAAGAGAAACGCACATGATACGAATAGGGAAATGTTTGAAAGGTATTTAAGTGTACATAACTCGATTAAGCTGGAACGTAGATGAAGGAAAATCGACACAAGGATGCACATATGTATTTTTGTCATTGTCAGCATTAATTCAGTGCACACGTGTGGACACAAGGGGGCGTTTAGGTCCCCCCTTGGGGGGGATTGCACAAGTCGTCGGATTTTTGCTTGGGGAATTCTTCGCTATGGCTCCTGCAACAATTGGCAAGTTCTGCAAGTGTCTGATCGTGACGTCTCATAGATGCTCGATCGGGTTCACATTAGACGATTTGGAAGGCCAGGGAAGGACATTGCCGTTTACATTGGCGAGATGGGCACCTGTTCCACGAGCTGTGTATGTGTTGTGTTGTTGTTTTTTTTTGTGTGTGTGTGTTGTGTGTGTGTGTGTGTGTGTGTGTGTGTGTGTGTGTGTGTGTGTGTGTGTGTGTGCGCGTGCGTGTGTGTGTGTGTGTGTGTTTGTGTGGGGGGGGTGGGGGGTTTTGGCGTTGTCGCAATGAAACAGTTCCCTCTGGCGGTTGAAAAGTGAAAGGTGGGCGGAAGTGAGGTCGCAGGACAAACAGACTACACCAATACTCATTATTATGAAAGCATATTTTCCCGGCTACTTGATTGGTATAGAGGCGGACACGTGACCGCCGACAGAAAAGCATATTGACTCAAACCCAGGTCCGACCAAAAGTCATACTGACTATGACGTCATTGTGTTGTTTACATGTCACACTATTGTTGACATCGGACATCAGTTTGGTCACAGATGCATCAAATTTGGAAATGTCCTCCACATGTCTACCATAACCTTCTTGAAAGCTTTACTGAGGCCTTGAAATTCTGATTCATATGCCCCCCAAAAATAGATCCACGAGAAGGGGAGCACAGTTGGTGCCCATGGGTATGCCTACTTCTTGACGGAATGTTTTACCCCAAAGTTTCACAAAGATTTTATCAATGAGAAAGTCCAGCATTTCACATATTGTTTTCTTGGTAAACTTCAAATCACATTTGCTTTCATTTTTGTCAAAAAGTCCTGAACCTCTGAAGATAGATATATGGGTACAAATGCCCCATGGATCAAGGAAGGACGTTTTTCCTTAAGTGTGCCATGTGGGATAGAGGTGTACAATGTTAGAAAATCAAATGTTTTGACAGAATGGAACTCGGTCCATTACTGAGATTGTAAAAATGTAAGCAAATCCTTTGAGTTTTTGAGAATACACACGAAATTAATTCCGCTTGTCACAAACACTTTCTGTGAATATCGGGAAAGTCCTTCCTCGATAGTATTAAGGATTATGGTTAACTTTGAGACAGGGATTTGGTGGTACATTTGCTGGAACCAGCAATATATCTCTCCCTGTACGGCTTGTTTATGTAGTTTTGGAATCCAGTCCAAAAGAGGAATGGGCATGACTTCAAGTTTAAGAGTCAAGCCAAACGTTGACAGCACTGTTAAATGGTTTAGGCCGATTTCTTCCTCAGTTACCATACTGGCCTTATATGTGGCATTATTTGATATGTCACGTATACCAAGCTCTTTGATCAAACAATTTATGTAATAATGTTTACATCTAATGGTTATGATGATCTGAGGCCTTGTCAGTGGGAATAACTACAAAGTTTTCATACAGGGCAACCAGACTTTGGATGACAGCTGGCTGGGAAAGAATGGGTTTATTCCAATTCTGTTTACTCTTTTTTCAGTTTGTGCATTCTACCAATGACAACATCCACAGGTTCATCTTCTCCTTTTGCCCGTTTTTAGCATATGTTTCAACAGCATCCATAATGATTTTAAAGTTGTAATTCCAGTTGGTAGGAGGATGTTCACGATAGTTTCCATATGTCCATATTTAAATAGTTGACGAAGGTTGTTATTGTCAACAATTGAGACGTCATCTGTGATAATATGTCTTGCAGGTTGGTAGCAAAAGTTGTTAGTTTGACTTGAAACTTTGGCTGCCACATGAGGTGGAATTAACATCGTGATCCACGTTCTGCAACACGTTCCTATAATTGAACAACGTGGATGAAATTGTGTTCGTATAGAAAAACGATATTGGTATTTCCTGAAATCTGAAACATTTTGGCACATTTGGGGAAACTGATTTTGCCTCAGAATTTTGCTTATAAAGAATGAATTTCCTTCATTGTACATTTCAGATTTAGGAACATGCGCTCTTTGTCTGAACGTTTGTGGCAGTAGACCTTGATACCAAAACACGTCCTATACAAGAACGTTGTTGTCGGTAAACCTTACACCAAAACACGTCCTATACAAGAACGTCGTTGTCGGTAAACCTTACACCAAAACACGTCCTATACAAGAACGTCGTTGTCGGTAAACCTTACACCAAAACACGTCCTATACAAGAACGTTGTTGTCGGTAAACCTTACACCAAAACACGTCCTATACAAGAACGTTTATGTCAGCAAGCATTAATACCCAAACACATGCTATCAAAGAACGTTTGTTTTAGTAAACCTTACACCAAAACACGTCCTATACAAGAACGTTTATGTCAGCAAGCATTGATACCCAAACACATGCTATCAAAGAACGTTTGTGTTAGTAAACCTTACACCAAAACACGTCCTATACAAGAACGTCGTTGTCGGTAAACCTTACACCAAAACACGTCCTATACAAGAACGTCGTTGTCGGTAAACCTTACACCAAAACACGTCCTATACAAGAACGTTGTTGTCGGTAAACCTTACACCAAAACACGTCCTATACAAGAACGTTTATGTCAGCAAGCATTAATACCCAAACACATGCTATCAAAGAACGTTTGTGTTAGTAAACCTTACACCAAAACACGTCCTATACAAGAACGTCGTTGTCGGTAAACCTTACACCAAAACACGTCCTATACAAGAACGTCGTTGTCGGTAAACCTTACACCAAAACACGTCCTATACAAGAACGTTGTTGTCGGTAAACCTTACACCAAAACACGTCCTATACAAGAACGTTTATGTCAGCAAGCATTAATACCCAAACACATGCTATCAAAGAACGTTTGTGTTAGTAAACCTTACACCAAAACACGTCCTATACAAGAACGTCGTTGTCGGTAAACCTTACACCAAAACACGTCCTATACAAGAACGTCGTTGTCGGTAAACCTTACACCAAAACACGTCCTATACAAGAACGTTGTT